GAGGAGAGAGAAGGGAAGAGAGAAGAGGAGAGATGAGAGACAGGAGGGAGAGGAGAGGAGAGATGAGAGAGAGGAGAGGAGAGAGAGGAGAGGAGAGAGAGGAGAGAGAGGAGAGGAGAGAGAGGAGAGAGAGGAGAGAGAGGAGAGGAGAGAGAGGAGAGAGGATGACCCCGGACCTAAGTTTCCTGATTTGATTGGTGTCGCGTGTGGAGTGTTATTATCTTTGCGATGTACGTGTCACGTGTCTGCATTCGGGTTCGTGGATCCTATCAGGTACAATTATTTTGGTTTCAGAATCAGGCCGAGCACGGGATTTCAAATGCGTCCAGGCCGAACGCGTGATGGTACGAAGCCAGTAACAGGGGTGAGCCGAAACTTCGGCCTCGTGCCTGCACTCAAAAGGTGCTGCACGATGCTTCTGGTTTAGCTCAACACTCTTCCACAAGAAGTACAGGAAGGTAGGATTGGGAAGATTGCAAATCGGGCATACCTCGAGAAGATAATTGTCAGCTGAAAGGCTGCTACCCTGAACAAATGCATGAAGAGCGCGAACTTCCATCGGGGTTGCTGCCAGATTACAACGTTCTAGTAGGGGTACCCATAAGACCACAACATGGCCAAAATGCTCCGGCACAGCACGATAAAGCTAACCCCACCTGCAAAACGGCCTGCTTGCTGCCAGCAGCCGACTCCACCTTCAAAACATAGCAAAACCCGACTTGTTGGCTTCAGCGCTCACTGCCCATGTGGCCAAATGACTCTTGACTCTCAGTTTTCAGTTGGCAAGAGCCTTGGCCGAGAGTGTGCCCACATGGCCTTGTCGGAGAGGTGGAAGCTTGTTTGGCGGATTAGTTTCAACAATGCTTTGCATCATTCCAACACGTACACAGCCTCTCAGGCAACGTGTCCGCAATTCGATTGGAGGACATTGCTCATATTACTCAAAACAAATACAGGCAACTTCGATTTACAAATCTCACCTGAAGGCCTTCACAGCAGGCGAAAAAGACTCGACGAAAAACACTTCCAACATAGCAACTTCAGGACTCAAAACCAAATACTCTGGAAGCTGATGTTGCCTGTAGCTTCCCTCAGCTGGTCCTCAGTATCGCGGATCTTGTTCTCCAATCGTAGAACCTCCCAGCACCGCTGAATCGCTGCCGAAGATTCACCCAAACCTTCTGTGTAGAACCCGCTTGCGGCTTTAATACTTCCGGGAATGCAGTAAACCTCCGGCCTCCTGGCTTCGAGCCTCGAGCTCTTGACGCAGCACCCGCAGCTCCACCTCGCGGGCAGCAACCTCGCACTGACAATCAAAGCAGCTAACACAGCAGCTGATGAATTTGTGTTTTATGATAAGATGCATGACGTCATATGACGTCGTTGCGACAGGTCGGGATGCAATTTGCGATCAGAGACTTTCCTGACATAGGCACAAGCTCTGCAGCTAGGTCGCCTCGTTCTGCAAAGCATCCGGCTCCAACTCTGGCCACCTGAGGTTGCTTCGAGCAAGCCAATTGTGCTGGTGCCCGACGAGACTCTCCAGGCAAGCTCAAAGCATCACGCCATGGACTGCAGGAGCTTCAAACCAACCAACCCAACCGACCAATTATCGGCAATGTTGCACCCGCTTAAGAACACGTTGAATTGTTGAATTAAGTTGCGGGGGAGTCCGTTTCCCGCCTAACTTCCAAAAAACAGCCGAGTTGTTTACTGTGAATTGAAGAGCATGCTCAGCCTGGACGCTCAGGCGCAGGCTCTGATCTTGGCCCCCCATGATCCTCCACCGCTGCAGCCACGGCGGCAGCTGGCAGCTTGAGGCACACTAGTCCAAGCTTTCTGGCTGAGAGTGTTACTGCACCGAAATCGGATTCAGCATTTGAACGCTGCCAAGGCTCGAGGCAGCCAAAGTGATATCAAATGCAAGTCCTGAAGGTTCCAACCCCCAAGCCCCGCGTAGATACCAATCGTATCCATTCTGCCGTTCTTGCGTCCCTTCGCCAATGCAGAATTTGCAAAGCACTTCAACGTGTCGTCCGGTGCAATACTCTTGGTGATTCGCCTGATGTATTCCTAGGCGCAGACAGTTAGGGAGCATGCAGCAACACCATGACAGCCTGTAGGATCATGGAGTTCTGCTTCCGAGGGAGACGAAGGAAGCCCGTGCGCCTGCAAGCCAACATTTGACGCCATGAGCTGCACGCATCAAGTTGAAGAGAGCTGTGCGATACTTCGGGAAGCTTTTGTGGAGATGCTTTGGTAGTCGCAAAAATCGAAAATGGGAGCCTTTGGTGACAAGCTCCCACGATCGCCTCTGTGCGGAGACCTTGGTTGCGTTATCATAGCAGCAAGACTTGCATTCTGCGGCTGTAGTCACTGACACTTCCCTACCGGCTGAGGGCATCACTTGGATCGACTAGCCTGGCAAGGTTTTGCTCGTGCTCCAGTCAAAGCAAACTGGATCTCAGCTTCGGGGGTCTGTCAGAAAAGAACTCAGAACCCAGAAAGTTAAACCCGAAAAGCTGCCTTTGACTGGGCTTTGGCATGGCGGTCGTGCAGCTGCTGCAAGAGATCGTGGTCTCGCTCGGTTAGCTGGCAGGCGCATCTGTTGGCTTCACCATTCACTGGAGAACACAAACGACCCCACCTCAGGGTGTGGAGGCAATCGTGGCTGAGATGCCTTTGGTGAAGCCTTTGGTGAACCTTAACCCCCGTACCCAGTTTTGAGGTTAGGCTGGCAGCGGAACACTGCTGAACTGGAGCCTTGGGGCTCTTGAAAACCTTTCAAATTCCGATAGCCTTGCATTAACCTTACATGATGAACACACCGCTGGTCCAGCCATGCATTAGTTCATGCTACCTCAGCACCATTAGAGCATGTGCGCACACAAGCAAGAACCAAACAACTTGCTCCAGCACCAACATGCCGATTGGCAGGAAACAGCAGCTGCGCTCACCGAAGCCAACCAACAAACTGAGATCCATGCCCTGCGGAGACTCCTGCAAGTGACAGCTCAACCAGAGAAGACAGCTCAGTGCCAGTGTGGGACACAGTATGCATTGCCTGGAGATCTCCAGTTGCACAGCTTCAACCTTTTCTCCGGCGCAGCGTCTGCAGCCCCACGCTCTGCAGCTGCTCAGCCAGAAGAGGCAAACCTGGCACCTCCAACGATCCCACTGCTATGCCGGACATTGGGGAGCTCAGACGGCTGTAGGGTACAGTCTAGCTTCGTCACCATGTCATGTACACAAAACAAAGCCCATGCAAACAAGTAGCTTGGCCTCAGCATCATGTCACATGTTGGCACATACTCGATCATATTCGGTACTTCTTCGGTGCATGCGCAGCGGACTGCCTCCTTTGTTGTGCCCGAGAGGCGGCCTCAGGACTGAACAGCAGGAACACCAACAGCTGCATATGGGACCAAACTGCTCATACAAACTTCCAGGCCTTTTTCTTCCAATCGCGAAAACTTAGCTAGCTTTGAGCTGTCTGATCAATGCATGATGAAGTCTTGCATTCCTGCACCATGCAGTTCAACTACAGTGGCGTGCCTGCTGCCTGCCACAACTACAACAAACAAGCTACCGATGTAGGGTGAGACATGGCAAGAATCTGACGCAGCTAGCTTTGGCTACGGGCTCATGGACGGGGCACAGTGCGCGGCTGACTTGGGATGGGAGGAGCACCTCAGAGATGTGGCAGCGCCGATGTTGCTCGAAATCACCAGCTCATGTTAGTGTCGTTGCCCAGGATTGCGCTTCTCAAGGTTGGTTTTTGTTCCTATCATTGCTGCTATCTCATGTACCGCACCTTTCCGTGGCGCAGGCGGCGGGTATCCAGAAGGGATGAAACCCAGCCCCGGAGCTTCGGGCCTACCGGAACTCAGAGGAAAGGCTGTATGCACAGCTTCTCTAGATTGGCATCTAAGTTCTCCCAAGAAGCCTTCTCACACAGGAAGATCACAAAAGATGGCAACACTCCACGTCTGATGAAAGGCGTGAAAGGCGGGACAAAGACAGCAGTAGCACATCTGGATCCCATTGGTTGTGCAGGGTTTTTCCATCGTGTGAGGGCCTACAAGTGCGCTTCGACTAGTTCGACTCCTGGGGCGAATCTCCAGTGGCTCGTTCAGCTTCTTGTGGTGTAGCCGTGTAGCCCTGAACTTCAGGAGCAGGATAAGGCCATCGCTGAAGCACTAGCGAGTGGACTAGCAAAACGTTGGCACAAGTCCATCTCAGTGAGTCTCCTATTTCAAGTGAACAGCTGGCCTGGGACTTTCCCCAGACTTCGGCCGGGGTGGTAAGGGCGACGGGCTCCTCACTTCGGCAAGAATGATCCACGGTGACCAGCACTGCAAACATATGATTCAAGTCTTGCTCTCTTCAACCAGAACCGTGTACGCATCGTCTCAGCCTCTCCTCGGCCGAGCACGGCTGGGAGTGCCCGGGCGAAGCGGTGCCCCAGCAGAGCAGAGGGCGTGTACCGTCTCCTCTTTCTGCAGGCTTCCACGCATGAACTCTTCCTGTAATAACTTAAGCATGCAGGGAAGTCTAGAACCTCAGACGTCTCCTGGAAACCCAGCCGCTGCGCAATCTGCAGCGGAGTATCACCCAGCTTCGTTCCTGCCTGCAAGGCCAGCTGATTGCATCTGCAGCACTTTTGCAGCAGATCTAGACGAAGATCATGACGCACCTCAGCGTCAGCTCGCATCTCCAGCAGATACTTGGCCGCCTTGGCAAACTTGCGAAAGAGTCTTCCACATTGGCTGCAAGATGCGCACCTGCGCGTGGCCCTTGCGGCAGACGAGCATGAGCGGAGTCTCCCCTGCCCCGTTGCGAACCTGAGAGTCAATCATGGTCATCTCAGCCAGTCCTTCCCTTCTGGCCGAGCCGCGTTAAGATCTGCCCCCAGCTCCACCAGCAGCTTCACTGCTGCCTGCCTGCAATGCTCTGCAGCGCTTGGCAGCTCGACTCTACTGCTAGCCGGTACTTGCCAAGCAACTGCGCTGCTTCTGCGGCAACATGCAAGGGTGTGGCACCCTGCACGTTGCAGGGATCCACCTGAGGCAAAGCCAGGCAAAGCCAGAAGTCTAAATCAAAAAAAGCTTTGGATTGATTGCCTCCACTCCGTAGCCCATGAAGAAGCTCATGAGCTCCACATCCCCCAACCCGGCAGCAGCGTGCAGCACTGTGTCCTCACAGCAGGAAAGATTCATAAAGCATGAAAAGCTTTCGACAGTTTGCCTTCACCAACGGTCCTTGGACTCCGGATGTAGCGCGGAGCAAAAGTCCACACCATGCGCAGCCATGCACTGGATCATGGTCTCAGTGTGATTTCCCTTTCAGACTCGAAGCGTTACATTCTAGATGCAGGCTTTTCTGAGATGTGCACTGCATCCCGACGGCACACGGCATCCAGCAAGCGGACGCCGTCAGTCCACTGCTCCAAGTGGCTTTCCTGCCAGCTACTCAGATTTCAGTGATCTGCCTCTCTAAAAGCGGCTTGTGCGACTCTCACTTGTAGCTACAAGTACCACAAAAAGGGATTCAGCAGCAAACTGCCCGGCAAGGCATCCCTTCATTCCAAACACTGGTGAGAGTCATTGCCATAAGTCAAGGCATGGGCTTGGTGACAACTTATGCGAGGCCAATACAAATTGCTTCAAGGCTGATTATCTGACGAAAGTTTGACAGTGCAACACGCACAGGCCCCCGAACCCACAAGGCATGTTTGAACTACGGGGCATCTCCTTGTCCCGCACTGCCATCACTTCATCGCAGGCCGGGCAGCGATAGTTGTTGCCTCAGGTGCCACCGTATCACGCTCCGTATCACGATTCACCTGACTGAGACAGAACCCCATGCAAGGGCACGGCGGTAGCAGAAGACAGAGTGGGATACCAGGTTTGCAGACGGGATTTCCCGACCGCAGTTGCCACAAGCAGAGGTCTCGCCTTCGCTGCTTGCAGCTGGGTGATCTAAGCTGAGGCTACTTGGCAAGCATGCACGACTGGATGCCTGGTGGTGGCTTGCAAGGCTCCTGTGACAGACGCATTCATCTGCATCCATGGCTTTACAATAGCAAAACCCTTGAAGCCCGCCTTATTCTCCAGGTCTAGCACTTCTGGTGCACCTCCAAGGAGCATTCAGACAATCCATTGTCCCCAAGCTGCAAAGCTGCAAAGCTGCAAACGAGTTACCAGAGGTGGCGGGCACGGCGAGAGCGCTCAAGCTCCGGGCCTGCGAAAATGAAGGCAACGTTTGGGGTGTGGGGGCAGGGTGCGAAGGTAAGGAATGCCCAGTATGGTTCAGTTCAATTTGCTGCAGCGATTGTTTGACTTCTTAAGAGAGCCGCAGCTCTGCGAGCTTGCGAGGCTGCAGGAATGCACACAAAATACGCACAAAAGACGCCCTGAGTCAAGAGTTTCAGTCTCAGGGCGGACAGCTCCCAGCCTGTCAGGAAGCTACTTCTCATGGTAAAAGGGTGATGCCCTGATGGCATCAATGAAGGCTGGACCTTCCTGTGCCTGGACCTTGGCCTTGAGACTCTCAGGTGTCTCGCCGGCCTCGACTGCAACCTTCCGCTGAACCACAATTGGGCCTCCGTCAACTTCCTCAGTGACAAGGTGCACGGTGCAGCCGCTCTCAGTCTCGCCTGCATCCAGCACAGCTTTGTGCACCTCCAAATCCATGCCGCCTGCGTGCTTTGGAAGCAAACTTGGGTGGATGTTGATGCAGCGACCCTCCCAATCTCTGCAGAATTCTGGGCTCACAATTCGCATGAAACCACAGAGCATCACCAGCTCTACGCCCTCCTCGCGCAGGGCAGCAGTGACAGTCGCGTCGTACTCTGCCCGGGGCGTTCCCTTCTTGCACGGGAGGTGGACGGCCTTAACGCCCTCTGTCCGACCCCTCTCCAAGATGCCGGCGTCTCCCTTATTGGAGATTACAACCACAATCTTTGCGTTCAACTCGCCCTTCTTGATTGTGTCGAAAGTTAGCTGCGAAGAGGAGCCTCGAGTAGAGCCGATGAGCCCTATGCGAAGAGGCGCCGACTCTTCCGTCATGGCGCACCCTGAGGGTCTAGGTCTTGAAAAAGCTTTAGCTCTTTTGAAAACTGCATGCGAAGTTATAGAAAAGGGTTCCTCTGAGCAATCAAGTCATCAAAGCCACAACCTACGCTGAGCCAAAAGCAGACATAGCACTTAGTTTGCAGCAGTGCGCGATACTGTGCGTCATTGCGAGCTGCAGAAGCTGCCCGCATCCGATTCAGCGAGCACAACGCTGACAGCCTCGATTCTGTCAATGACTGCTGCTGTCTGCGGCCGGCTTTGGGCATCATTAGCTTCAAGCTCCTTCAACAGCACTAGCTCCAGAATCAGCGATAGGATAACAGAACATAATTACAAAGCATGTTGAGAGAGCACAAGTCACCAAGACTCATCATGTTTATAATATGCCGTAGCTTGAGATTCTGGACAACCCTTTGCAAAACAGGACATGCGATACGCTCAATGAAGTCCTTGATTCTGTTCAGCAGGATCTGCGTGGTGCATCGAAAATTGTCCACCATATCATCCTTCTCGTTCTGCAAAGCCTGAACCTGCCATGCAAGCAGTTTACCTCATTTAACATTCTAGTCGATGTCTCTAGCAGACATGACCGCCATGAGGCAGCGGCTTTGCTGCGAAGGCGGCGAACTTCAGACTTGAGCAAATTTAGCTCGTTGCTGACCTGCGTATCCAGGAGCGACCTTGCAGCGATGCAAGCTTGAACACTCCTATGACATGTGAAAGGACAAAAGCCACCTTGCCAACGAATCTGTATGGAGCGAGTGTAGCACTCCAGCATCTTCGTCCTCCTAAAAAGCAATTCTGAGAGCTGTTGACCTAACACTTTGCCTACAACCGAATGATGCGCAGTGACCGAAAAGGAGACTTTGGCCTCATCGCTGTCAAGCTCTTCCTGGGAAAGTACAGGCCGATTGCTGGAACAAG